CACCCACAGCCTTTGGGGAATACAGCCCTGTTCTCATAGCTAAAGCTATTTTTGTAATAGTCTGTGCGTGGTAATGGAACATTGAGTTTATTCACAGAGTCCCTTAGGTCATATGCGATTTCTCGTCTTTCAAATTTAGAACTGAGGTAGTTGGAGCCAACCAGTGCAGAGACCTGTAAACCATCGTAGCTCTTTGAATACAAATGTATTTCACTTGTGGAAATCTATCGATTTGCACAGTACTTGGGTTAGATATTCTTTCCCATGTCAATTTTCTTTTTTCCCGCATGTTTTCGCACGTTAGGCGAGTCGGCACACTCGCTTTTAGATGTGGGGATCCCAAAATCTGCTTGCCTTGCTTTTTAAAGATGTTAGATTTACCCTGTTCCAAGTCTCCAACGTATATTTCAAATGTGGAAGTCTATCGTTTTGAAAAGTGCTTGGGTGGATATTTTTAACGATGTCAATTTACTTTTCCCTTGTCTTTTCTCGCGAGTTTAGCTATGCAGCACACTCGAACTTTTGGTCTCGGGATCTTAAACTAAGCTCAGTGCGCTTTTTAAAGATGCTAGTTTTGGCCCTCTCTTAAATTTACACGTGATTTTTTACTTGTGGGAGTCTTTAGATTTGGAAACTGCTTGGGTGAGATTTTCTCGCCCATATCAAATTTCTTTTCTCTCGTAAGTTCTCGTGCGTTTAGAGATGCGCCACACTTTCGTTTTTGGTGTGGGGATCCCAAGGTATGCTTACGGGGCTCTTTAAAAATGCTAGATTTGCCCATCCCCATAATCTACACAGGCGCATTTCACTTGTGGGAGTCTGTCGCTTTGGACAATGCTTAAGATGGAGATTGTCGCCCATTTATATTTTTTATTCTCGTGTTTTTTCGCGCGTTTAGCGATGCGGCACACTCGGGTTTTTGGTGTGGAGATCCCAAACTATGTTTACGGGGCTCTTTACAAATGCTAGTTTTGGCCGTTCACCAAATCTACACAAACGTATTTCACTTTGGAAGTCTATCGATTTGCACAGTGCTTAGGTCGGTGATTCTCGCCCTTATCAACTTTCTTTTCCCTGGTAAGTATTCCATCGTTTAGAGATGCGCCACACTTGCGTTTTTGGTGCGGGGTTCCCAACCAGTCTTTCCCTAACTTTTTAAAGATGCAACTTTTAGCCCTCCCCTAAATCTACACACGTGTATTTAACTCGTGGAAGTCTATCGATTTAAACAGTGTTTGGGTTGGAGATTCTCGCCCATATCAACTTTCTTTTTTCTAGTAAGTTCTCACGCGTTAAGAAATGCGCCCCACTCGCGGTTTTGGTTTCAGGATCTCAAACTGTGCTTACTGGACTTTTTAAAAATGCTAGATTTAGCCCTTTTCCAAATCTACACAGGTGTATTTCACTTGTGGTAGTCTGTCCCTTTGGACAATGCTTCGGTTAGATATTCTCGCCCATTTATATCTTTTTGTGCCGCGTGTTTTCGCAAGCTTAGAGATGCGCCGCACTCGCGGTTTTGGTGTGAGCATCTCAGACTATGCTTACTGGACTTTTTGAAGATGCTAGAGTTGTCCCTTTCTCAAATCTACAGACGTGTATTTCACTTGTGAAAGTCTATCGATTGGGACGGTGTTTAGGTTGGAAATTGTCGCCCATATCAACTTTCTTTTCTCTTGTAAGTTCTCGTGCGTTTAGAGATGCGCCACACTTGCGTTTTAGGTGCGGGGATCCCAACCAATGCTTCCCTAACTTTTTAAAGATTCTACTTTTAGCCCTACCCCAAATCTACAGACGTGTGTTTCACTTGTGGAAGTCTATTGATTTGGAGAGTACTTGGGTAAGAGATTCTTGCCTATATCAATCCTCTTCTCGCTAGTATGTTCTCGCGCGTTTAGAGATGCGCCACACTCGCATTTTTGGTATCGGGATCTTTAACTAAGTTTACTGGACCTTTTAAAGACGCTAGATTTGGCATTTGCTCAAATCTACAAACGGTTATTTTACTTGTGGAAGTATGTCGCTTTTAACAATGCCTGGGCTATAGATTTTCGCGTATTCATATCTTTTTTTTTACTTTCGTGTTTTCGCGTGTTTAGCAATGCGGCAAACTCTCGTTTTCGCTTACAGGGTGCTTTAAAATTGCTAGTTTTGGCCCTTCCTCAAATATACACAAACGTATTATACTTCTGGAATCTCTCAATTTGGACAGTGCTTAGGTTGAAGATTCTCGCCCATATCAACTTTCTTTTCTCTCGTAAGTTCTCGCCCGTTTAAGTGATGCGCCACATTCGCGTTTTAGGTGCAGGGATTCCAACCACTGCATACCTAACTTTTCAAAGATGCTACTTTTAGCCCTCCCTTAAATGTACAAACGTGTATTTCACTTGTGAAAGTCTATTGATTTGCACAGTACTTGGGTAAGAGATTCTCGCCTATATCAACTTTCTTTTCTCTAGTAAGTTCTTGCGCGTTGATAAATACGCCACCCTCGCATTTTAGGTGCGGGGATCCAGACGAATGCTTACCTAACTTTTTAAAGATGCTACTTTTAGCCCTCCCCAAAATCTACACACTTGTATTTCACGTGTGAAAGTCTCTCGAGTTGGACAGTGTTTAAGTGAACGATTCTCGCCCGTATCAACTATCTTTTCTCTTGTAAGTTCTCGCACGTTTAGAGATGCGCCACACTCGCGTTTAAGGTGCAGAAATCCCAACCAATACTTCCTTAACTTTTTAAAGACGCTAGTTTTAGACCTCCCCCAAATCCACAAACGTGTATTTAACTTGTTGAGGTCTATCGATTTGGACAGTGCTTGGGTGAAAGATTCTCACCCACATCAACTTTCTTTCCTCTAGTAGGTTCTCGCGCGTTTAGAGATGCGCCACACTCGGGATTTTGGTGTCGGGATCTTAAACTATGCTTACTGGACTTTTTAAAGATCCTAGATTTGGCCCTTTCTCAAATCTACACAC